CCTTCAGGGTGGATATAGCTCGCTCACACCGATGACCTATCCACGTCATCATTTACCCAGAATGCTTTGTGTGTAAATAAAATGGCCCCGTCCGTAATATATTTTTTAACTTTTAGTTTAAAAATGATAAAAACTGAACATCCTACAGTATTTTTACAGTCTTTATTTTACAGTTAAAATACATGTTTATCAAATAAAGTCTAATGTTACAACTAATCGTGGATCCCTTTTGTTTAATATTGTCTAATATTTATAGTTATGTTGATTAAAGTAGATTTTCTTCATCGTCTATAATTATTTTACTAAACACTCCCCTCTCTTCTCACCATTCCTTAGGGCTCTATCTTGCATCCTATGAAAGTGAGAGTCCAGAAAACCAGGTAGAGAAGGACCGATGGAAAGCCCTCAGGTAACTTAGTTGGAGGAATGCACATCTCCCACCATCTTTCACGGCAAGGTTTTAAACAAGGAGCAGCTGATCTGTGCTCAGATTACATGTTGAGGCAGACTGAGCTGAGAGCACARCAAACTAGTGGTTTATGTGATGATTAGCTGTGGCGACCATCTTGAATCAGGTTGACTCCACCCTGTGGTTCATGGGTTATTTTGCTAACAGACAAACACAAACACAATTCCATTATTGCATTGATCTAATGTTTTTGCGATACAAGGCAGTCAAACACGTTTTTGTCCAAAATGAGAACTTTTATTAACATTTTTGCTTGTGTCTGGTCAGGTCCAACGTCCTGTCGAAGACATGAGTGGACGACGGCTCTAACCCTCTCACCATCACTGAAGCTCGTGTTCTCTTTGCACTAAACTGGACTGTGAAGGAGCCTAAAGCTGGTACTTAGGTGTTATTGGGGTTTTTTTATGAACAACTTGTGTGAAGAAGAAGAAAAAATGAAATGACGATGAACAGGATTCATCAACATGAGTGTGTAAAATAAATGAAAATATTCAAAAACAAAAAACAGAACAACAACAAAAAAAGCTTTGCAGGATCTTTTAGCTACAGGATGTTGGAGAGGGACGCGGCCTCTCCGTCCCCCTTCTGTGTGTTTACTCTGTGAACATGTTTACCACTGTAGAACGTACAGTTACAGGGAAAAACCACTTCATTGTACCAACTACTTGATGCTGTTTCGTGTATTTTCTCCTCTCTTACTATCTGTTTGGATTTCATCCAGAGCCTTGATTAAGTCTTTAAAATACTGCAACCAGACATCAAAGCGACGTACAGGGCGCTGGTTAGCCCAGATTTCACAAATGAAGGGATTGGAGTCTGTGTGAACGTAATCCCTGTGTGTGTGTGCGTGTGAGTCTCYTGTTGCACGGGACTGACCCCAGAACATGTCTCATCTCTTTATTTATTTCATTCTATAGGGAAATTGAACTTGGTTTAAATGTATTTTTTTATGTGCTTACTCTTTTATTTTTATGTGTTGTGCCATTATTGTAATTAATCTACTGTAATCTCATCATGGCGACATCAGACGTTAGGCCAGGTGTAGATTGTGTACAGGTGATGTTATGAACCCTCCCTGCCCTCATCTTTCTGCTCTGCAGGAAGTTTTCTCTGACTGATGTTCAGTTGTCTTGATATATTTATGGAGATCTCTGTTCTGACAGATGTGAAGTTTTTATTGTAACTTTCCTTTACAGAAACATGAAGTCCAGCGGCAGGCTGCGGCAGGTGGTTTTAAAGGGGCATTAGTGTATCCACCTTTTAAAAACTGTTCAACCTTGCAGTGAAGTGTTGCTTTCTTTTATTTATTTATTTTTCTATGGAAGTGAAATTTAGATTTGAAGAATGAAACTTGTGCCACCAGTTGTTATGACAAGTCAGGTTTCTTCTACTCAAAACGTGTTTTTTTCTTTTTTTCTTTTTTTGTGGTATTAACATGGAGTGGAGTGGGAACTGTGTAATTATATGCTTCTTTAAAGCATTCAGTTATTGATTGATGTCAGTGTTTTCTCTTTTACCAAGCACCTTTCCCTCTCCACAACGGACTGACTTGAACCCTCCCAGCTGATCTCTCATCATTTAGAAACTTGCTTTGTTAACTCGTTCCTGGATAAGTTATAGAAGGAAGAAGAAATAAGTAAAACAGAAATGTGATGTCAAATCTGCCATTCATATTGAAAACGTGTTTGACTAAAACATGGATAACTCTGTATTCTCAGTGACAATCGCCTGCATAACATCAGTTTAGCTCTTTTTATCTGCTATCAGACTGCCAGATCCATTCTTACTCTTCTTATTTTCTGTAACATACAAAACCATGTGCAGTTTAGAGATCTCTGGGTTTTTCTCCTGGGTGTTTGGGTCATAAACACAGACCTTTGGCTTTGACATCGCTGCAGGATTCGTGGTTCCTGAAACGAGCCTTTAATAAAAATTAACCATGCCTAACCTCTGTTTCTTCTGTTTATTTTTTATTTTTTCTAAATTTCTTCTTATTTGTATGCTTATTTCTAATTAAAAGGTTCATCTCATGGCTGTAAATATGTTTTGTTTTAAGTAGAAGAAACTAACACAGCAAACTAACATTGAGTTTTAAGTTTTCATCAAACATAAATAAGTTATTAAACCATACTTACATTTTTCATATGTACAACCCACATACTCAGTTCTGCTGCTCATCACCTAAATACATGTTCCTTACAAATGTGGCACCATTTAAAAGGGAAATTAGCAGAGTTTACAACTATACGATTTACTGTCATGTTACAAAAAAGAGATGATCTACCAAACACAACTTTCCATTTTGTGCTGCATTTGGTCTTTCAAATATTTATTTGAATGTAAATATACGTATATATTGCAGTCAGTGTTGTATAAAGCACCTCACAATGATTGAGTAAAAGTACAAGTATCTTATCATGAAATCATTGTGGTAAAAATTAAAGTCTCCCCTGAGAATATTATTTGACTAAAAGTCTTAAATCTGACATTTATTGTACTTAGTCATCAAAAGTAAATTTTTGATACAAAATGTACTTGAATATTAAAAGTAAAAGTACTGAGTAAAAATGAGTAGTTAGAATTTCCAAAATTACATTTACTTGGAGGTGACGTCATGGAAACATTTTTAAAGGCTGAAATTACTGTCCTATGAAAATTTAAGATGCATTAGTCTACCTGTTTCAGCTGCATATGTGTTTGTGTGTGTGTGTGTGTGTGTGTGTGTGTGTGTGTGTGTGTGTGTGTG